ATATATAATATCTTATTTAATCCTCACCATGTGAAGTGGGTATTATCATTTTCTGTTTACAGGAAATGAGGGACAAAGAGGTTTAAGTTTGTGTTGCTTGAGATTCTGTGTTCTTTGTTACATCACACTGTATCCCTTGGAGACCGGCAGAGACATGTGGCAGTCGTACCTGTGACTTGAGGAAAATGCAAGATTAAAGCTAGGCCTGTCAGGGGAGTCTCTCCTCCAATTAGGACACAAACAGATGTATACCTGTATTTCTCTGTTTTCCTCTTTTCTTCGTTATTTTTAATATTCACTAAATCACCGTGATTTAAAAAGTTACTCAGAATAAAATTTCAGGCATGTATTTCTAGAGTGTAGGAGAGTCAGATGCTTCTCATTAGGAAGCCTCTCAATTCCTATGATAGTTATCTTTTCCTTCCCCTATATGACATCTTCAACTGTGTCTCATTTTAATGGAGGAATCAGAAAGATATCCATGCTCTCTGGTTATTCATTTCAGGAAATACAAGTAAGAAAGAACTCTGAGACTCATGTTAAACATTCTTCGGTTAAAAAGCTGAACTACAGGGCTTGAGGGATAGTACAAAGTGCTTGTCTTGCTTATGACCAACCCTGGTTCAGTCCCTCACATTGCATATGGTCATCTGAGCACTGCCAGAAGTGAGCCCTGAGCCATAAGCCCTGCTGGGTGAACCCTCCCCCCGCCAAAAAAAACACCAAATCTGAAGTACAATATAGATTCTGAGATTCAAAATTAAATTATTTTGGCCTCGGTCCATTGGACCTTTTTCATAGATCTATTAGTGCACTCAACTTTGGTAGTGAATATATTTTTAACACTGTGTCCCTAAAATTTAGAAACATTTCAATCTTGTAAATCAATGTTACATCAATGAAAAAATAAGAAATTATGGGACTGGAAATGTGTCTCAAGTGGTAAAATCTATGCCTTGCATGTGTGAGGCTTATTTGTTCATCTGCTATATATGACCCATAAGCTACCTGGCTATGTCAAGTGCCAGGGAATGAATCAATTACAGTATCCTAATGGATATTTCAAACCACAGTATTAGAGGAATTAGGGTTTAGATAAAAAGTCTCTCCAAAGACTTAGGAGGAAGATCTGGAAGGCAATTTTATTCCCTTCATTTCTTTCTATATATACTTCTGTTGCCTGGACTCAAACATCATCATCTCTTCTCCATTTAGCTGCAGTAGCATTGTAAACAGTCTCAAGTCACCCATTTTGTGCCTTGTAATGTATATTCACGGACAAGAAAGAGTGATCTTAACGACTTTTAATGTTGTGCCATTACTCCCAGGCTTAAAATCTTCAGTGGATCTCCATTACAAAGAATAAATTCTGCTACTTTTATCTTGGTCCAGAAGACCCTGCACAAGTATCTTCCAATTTTTCTCTTACCTCATTTCTTTCTTAGCTCTAACATTAACCCTTATTCTTAGGTAGAAACTTCATGCTTGTTTTTTTCTACCATAATTCTACTCTTGCTTCTTATATCTGATAGGGCTCCTTCTTGTCATTTAGAATTCAGCTTATATGTTACGTGATAGCTCCAATAAGTACACTCTCAAATTTTAGCTAAATAATTTAAGCAAGTTATTTAAAATTACTACAGTAAATTAATTCAATCTATAAAATGAAGTTCATAAAAAATACCCTAAGATCACGACAGAGGCGACTAGGGTCTAGGATGCATACCTAATATATGACTCACTCAATTGTTAGTCCTTCTTCTATGAGAAAAACCATAGTCATGGGCATCTCCCTTGTCCAGACCCTAGTTTTACTCCATTGCATCACTTCCAAGCCCTTGATTTTCAGTTCGCTCTCAGCCCAGTGTGCCTCACTCCTTTAAGAGTTCACTTTTAATGAAAGAGTCTAAATTCATCTCTTCATTTCCTTTACCAGAGGCACAAAAAGATTTAAGTTTGTGTTACTCGAAACTTGGGCTCAGAGAAGTCAAGTATTTTTATTCATGTTCCTAGAATGTCTGGCTCTAATCATGGTACTTTTATACTTCCTTTCTACAGTTTTCTTCTTTTTTTGAGATTCTGTTAAAATTTGTTGAATTCTGTTGAAATGTGCCATGTGGAGTTATTTGTGTGGCAGTGGCCAACAGTATATGGGCAGCCTATGTAGTACCAAGGACAGAGTAGGACAGAGCCTCAAGGCATGAGGAAGAGGTGGTGACCAAGTGTTGCTGGCCAACAGGTCATGAGAAAGCAAAGAGCAGGTATATTTAAATCCCTGACTCAAGCAAAAGAGAATGGAATTAATAGATAATGGTCTTGACATTCTTTACTATAATTTTAAAGTTAGTAGGCAAATAGGGTTGATGTCAGAAGATATTTTTAGATGAGGGGACTTTCAGTACCCCTCACATGATTTAAGTGACTATTTTGGCACCTCATGTGGCTAATCCTGGAAATAATTGTTTAATCCTAAATCTAACCAGTGAATGACCAAACCTTTTGACCGGGTCAAAAGTTAAAGGTCAAATATATTCTTCAACTATTAGCCCATTGACCAATTATTTCCTTTAATTAAACACCATTAACATGTTATTAGCACTGTAGCACTGTCCTCCCATTGTTCATTAATTTGCTCGAGCAGACCCAGTAACGTCTCCATCCTAAGACTTGTTACTGTATTTGGCATATGAATACGTCACGGGTAGCTTGCCAGTCTTTGCTGTGTGTCTGCGATACTCTCGGTAGCTTGCCAGGCTCTCCAAGAGGAGCAGAGGAATTGAACTCGGGTCGGCCGCGTGGGCCGTGTGCAAGGCAAATGCCCTACCCACTGTGCTATCGCTCTAGCCCAACATGTTATTCTGCTTTGAAAATACTTAATTGTAGAGAGTAAACTGTATGAAATTATTTATCAATATAACTATTTGACTCTTGACACAACCACTTGGCTGAGGAGAATCCCCACATCTAATTCTATAATCTTCAGCTTTTAGATGATGATTCCAGCGCTGTACAACACAGACATTTTTCCAAATTTATTCAAACACCACATGCAGTTTCCCCACTTTATCTAGAAACTTTTAAACTTTTTAACTATTTAATTAGCTAATTAATTCTCATACATAGTACATTTACTATTGGCATCAGCATTTTATTGATTTGGTTTTTGGGTCACACCTACAGGTGTGCTCAAGGCTTACTCCTGGCTCTGTGTTCAGGGATCACTTCTAGTGGGCTCAGGTACCACATCAGGAACTGGGGATTGAAACCAGGTTAGCCACATGCAAGGCAAATGTATTACCCACTGTACTATTGCTCTAGCTCCAGTAATATCAGCACTTTATTTATTTTTTTGCTTTTTTTGGGGGGGCAGTCACACCCAGTTTTGCATGGGGTTACTTCTGGTTCTGCACTCAGGAGTTACTCCTGGCGGTGCTCAGGGGACCATATGGGATGCTGGGAATCAAACCCGGGTCAGCCGTGTGCCCTACCTACCACTGTCCCTCCAGCCCCAACTATCAGCATTTTAAATTACTGTTTTATGTTGACTGAAAAGCTTTTAGCTGAATGATGAGTCAACCTATCTCCTTGATTAATCTTCAACGAACATACCTTAGTCTTTGTCAGACAGTAAGGTAAAAGGTAAGGTAAAGCCCTCCCGTTGATCGTCGATTTGCTCGAGCAGGCCCAGTAACGTCTCCATTGGAGACTTTGTTGTTACTGTGTCTGGCATATCCAATACTCTCGGTAGCTTGCCAGGCTCTCCGAGAGGGGCGGAGGAATCGAACTCGGGTCGGCCATGTTGGCCGCTTGTAAGGCGAACGCCCTACCCGCTGTGCTATCGCTCCAGCCCTGTCAGACAGTAGTCCGGCATATAGCTTTAAGTCTGTGGTGCCTTGGAAACACTGACAAAATTAAACTAAGTGGGCAATTTATACCGTGAAATTGTTTTTTGCAAACAGGCACAATTATAACCCAGAAAAGGTAAGCAGGAAGGGAGCCTGAGATAAGATATCCCAGTAAGTCTCCTTTTACTTGGCATTGTATGTTTAGCTTGACCTCTTTAAAGTTCAAAGTTCAGAATCCCTTTAAGCTACATTGTTCATTTCACAGAATGAATGTCCTTAGCTGAACTTCGAACTATATAACATGAAACCAAGGCCATAGAAAGACAAGAAAATAAGCTCTACTCCCCTGTTTCCTGTATGCAACACTATTTAATGACTGTAACAGTTAGACATTTTCTACATTTTAATGCTTTCAGTCTCAGAAAGATTCATTCTTTTACTGTTATTTTTCTGGATGTGCAATTTAAAAATTTGTAATATTTTTGGGTTTGGGTAAAAAGCCCATGAGAGTTTTTCAACTTGTAAAATATCTTCACTTATAAAATACTTCACTTCCGCGAATGTGTTTTGGATTCAAGGGAACTGGAGAGGAGAGATTTATATTTATGCAGCATTTTTAATGAAAAAAACAGGCTTTAAACTCTGCAGGCAAAGTTCAAATAGTACCCATAGTAAATAGAATGGGGATTCCCTAAGCCATAAGAGTGACACAGGTGACAGAATTTAAACTACATGAGAATGATTTGCAATTAACACAGTGATTTCTGGTTAGTGTGAAGATGATAGAATTTGGAGAACTTTCAGAAAGTAGAAATCCTGGGTTCTGGGCTTTGCCCTATTTTCTCCAACCCCATCTCCAATCCTGTCCCAAATCACCCTGATGTAATACAAGAACTGTCACGTAACTACTCTGGTTGATGGTAGAAGAAAGAACTGGAATTATCTGAAATCAGGTAATCATCTCTTCCTTCTATTCAAAACAAGGATTTACTGACTAACAGGGTCTCTTTTCTGTGCCAACCACTTCCCCCTGTATACACCTAATTTGCTTAATAACCTTGCTCAGAGCAAAAAATGTGACATGCAGCTCAGCCTCTGTCTGCATGTCCACCACTCCAAGTGTCTCCTGTACCTGTTCACGTTTGGAAAACTTACCTTCAGGTAAGACTCGAGCGAATCAGCATCTGCTGCACCTGTCCCTTGACTGTGAGCAAGCAGAGGGCAGGAAGGAGGAAGCTGTGGAAGCATCAACTGCCACGGAGCAGAGTCCTGTTCAGGAGACAAGCAAAGGGGAGAAAACTTCAACAGAAATAGTTCAAGTGTTTTGAAGTTAAAAATAAAACTATATCACAAGGGGCAGTGTGACCAGTCTCAGCTTACGATTTTTGACTTGTCCTGTTTTTATCAACGCTGGGTCTCTCCTGGAGTGGGGTTTAGCAGGGGAAGCTGGAAGTGAAGTCGGGCTTTATATCAAAGCATCTTCTTTCCTTTGAGAAAATGAGGAAAGTACTCCAGAAAAAGATCATTTCCAAGGCAAGATCCGTCTCTTAGACTCCCGTGCTCGTAGTCAGCAGGTCCGGCTGTGCTTGTGGTGGCTGGAAGAGCATCGAGTTCAGGCTGCTGCTCTAATTATAACTTTGCTTTTTCACCTAAGCCCATCACTGGCTGAAGCAGCAATTTAAGCAAGTGACAGGAGGTCTTGTTTCTGCTTCTTCCATTTCTTGTCACTAAGTGGCTGTCCGCTTCTGGCCCCTCTTATATCCCAAGCGATTGATAAAGGAAGAGCTTGTAATTCAGAAATCAGGTATGGAGCAAGATAATGTGAGATATTTTGTAGTAAGAGGCTTAGATATTGCTTGGTCTAATATTGGTTCAGTCCCTCTTATTACAGATGACACAGGAGTAGGAGAAGGTAAATTCTTGTTACAAGACCACACAGCTCACTGGAGCAGAAACCAGGGCCTCAATTCACTAATTCCCATTTGTCTAATGTGTTTCTTTATCTCACCATCTTCAGAGAAACTCTTTCAGTTGTTTTTTGAAGAAAGACAAAGCATAATCCTGCATCATCCAATTTTGAGATATGTGGATAGAGCCAAGTGACTTAACTATATTTCAGTTTTCCCAATTGTGAAATGGACACGATGGCACAATAGCTGTTATGATAACATGTCATTATTCATACATTATTAATATATGCAAAACACATGAATTGGGCCTAGCACGAATTAAGTGTTCAAAAATGCTATTTTTAAAAAATAAGTATAAACTAAAAACTTGCTAGTGTATTTTTAGCAAGATTAAAATCTTGTTTAAATCTTATAATTAAAAATCCCTCCCTTTACCTTGAATTCTTACGTAATCTTAGGTGCTATATCCTGTGTGGATAAATTTATTTTGGAATAAGCAAGAAGCAGTTAAAAGATCTTTTTAAAAACTGTACACCAATTTTGCATCTTGATTATTTGTTGGACTTGCTCTAATAAATTTCTCAGCATTTTCTACATACCAGCACATGGCTAACTGTGCTTAGAGATCTTTTTATTTCTTTTTAAATCAGAATCTCTTTTTCTTCCTGACTGTCTAGGACTTCAAGCACTACATTGAACAAGAGTGATAATATTTGTCATTTTGGGAAGACCTAAAAGATAATATAGTGGGTAGGACACTTGCCTTGTGCATAACTGACCTAGGTTTGATTCCCCCAGTACCACATATAGTCTTCTGAACACCCCTAGGAAACATTCCTGAGTGCAGAGTCAAGAGTAAGCCCTGAGCACTGCTGGGTGTGGCCCACTCCCCTCCCCCAGAAAAAGATTGGTCATTCTTATCACTTGTGCAGTATTTTGCTGCAGTGATGGTGGGAGTGGGGGGTTGTAGATGGTCTTTATTAATTTGTATGATCAACAAGTTGATAAATTTTGTTTTTTGAAATTTTTTGTTATTTTTTAATTTTTATTTATTTATTTGTCTATTTATTTATTTTTATTAGTGAAACACCATAAGGTACAGTTGTTGACCTTACAAGTTTTTGTACTTGGGTTTCAGTTATACAATGATCAAGTACCCATTCTTCCACCAGTGCCCATTCTCCACCACCAATGATCTCAGTAACCCTCCTACCCCTCCCATACCCCCATCCCATCCTGCATCTGTGGCAGGGCATTCCCTTTTGTTCTCTCTCCCTTTGGTTGCTGAGGTTTGCAATAGAGGCATTGAGTGGCAAACATGTTCTGTCTATAGTCTACTTTCATCATGCATCTCCCATCCTGGGAGGATCCTCTCAACACCCTTTACTTGGTGTTCCCTTCTCTGTTTGAGCTGCCCTTTCCCCTAGCATGTGCGGCTGGTCTTCAAGCCATGGAGAAAACCTCCTGTAAATTATTGCCACTATTCTAGGATGTTAGTCTCCTATTTTGTTACTTTATATTCCCCAGATGAATGCAGTCTTTCTATGTCTGTCCCTCTCTTTCTGACTCATTTCACTTAGCATGATATTTTCCATGTAGTACCACTTGTAAGTAAATTTCATGACTCGTGTTTTCTAACAGCTGCATAGTACTCCATTTTATAGATGTACCAAAGTTTATTTAACCAGTCATCTGTTCTCCGGCACTCAGGTGTTTTAAAGATTTTGGCTATTGTGAACAGTGCAGCAATGAACATAGAAGTGCAGGTGTCACTTCGACTATACTTTTTTGCCTCTCCAGGATATATTCCTAGAAGTGGTATTCCTAGATCAAATGGGAGTTCAATTTCTAATCTTTTGAGAATCATCCATACTGTTTTCCAAACGGGCTGGACCAGTGGGCATTCCCACCAGCAGTGAAGGAGGTCCCTTTCTCGCCATATCAGTGCCAGCACCCGTTGCTTTTGTTCTTGTGGATATGGGCCAGTCTCTGTGGTGTGAAATGATTTCTCATTGTGGTTTTGACCTGCATCTCCCTGATGATTAGTGATGTAGAGCATTTTCTCATGTGCCTTTTAGCCATTCAGATTTCTTCTTTGAGAAAGTTTTTGTTCATTTAATTACCCCATTTTTGATGGGGTTGGATGTTTTCTTCTTGTGGAGTTCAACCAGTGCTTTGTATATCCTTGATATCAATCCCTTATCAGAAGGGTATTGGGTGAATATCCTTTCCCGTTCTGTAGATTGTCTTTGTATTCTGGTCACTATATCTTTTGAGATGCAGAAGCTTTTTAATTTAAGATAGTCCCATTTGTTTATCTCTGTTTCCACTTGGTCAGTGGAGTGGTCTTTGAAGATTAGCCTCAATATTGTGGAGGGTTTTGCTGACTTTGTCTTCGATATATCTTATGGATTTGAGCCTGATGTTGAGATCCTTAAACCATTTTGATATGACTTTTGTGCACGGTGTTAGGTCAAGGTCTAAGGTCATTTTTTTGCATGTGGTTGTCCAGTTATGCCAGCACCATTTGTTGAAGAGGCTTTCCTTGCTCCACTTCACATTCCTTGCTCCTTTATCAAAGATTAGATGTTCATTCATTTGAGGTTGTGTGTACGGATATTCCATCCTGTTCCATTAGTCTACAGACCTGCCTTTGTTCCAGTATCATGCTGTTTTAATTATTACCACTTTGTAGTAGAGTTTGAGGTTGGAAAGGGTAATGCCTCCCCACGTCTTTTTCCCAAGAATAACTTTAGCTATTTGTGGGCATTTGTTCTTCCATATGAATTTCAGGAATGCTTGATAGATTTCTTTGAAGAATTTCATGTGCATCCTTATAGGGATCGCATTGAATGTGTATAAAGTTTTGGGGAGTATTGCCATTTTGACAATGTTAATTCTTCCTATCCGTGAGCAGGGCATATGTTTCCATTTCTTCGTGTCCTCTTTTATTTCATGGAGTAGCATTTTGTAATTTTCATTGTAAAGGTCCTTTACCACTTTCTAAAATTTTTTAAATTAAAGAACTATGATTTACAAAGCTATTGACAAAGTTGAGTTTAAGGTATATAATATTTCAACACCAAGCCCATCATCAGTGTCAACTTCCTTCCCCCAGTGTTCCCATACTTCATCACTCCCCCTCCTCCCCCCCCTCCGTCTGCCACTTTGGTAGGCACTTTACAAAGTTTTGTAGTTGCAGGTTAGATCTGATGTTTTCAGTTTTGTTGAATTTGAACTTTGGATATATAACTATACCACTCCCACATCAACAGAATAACCGAAACCCTGACCCCTGTTCCACCATTATTAGTCTTTCTCATCTTTTTTTCCCCCTTGATAAATTTTCTTCTCTGTTCTACTCCTCCTTAAATTCTGGGGTCAAAAAAAAAATTCTGGAGTCAAGGATGATCTAGGCATCTCCACTTTAATACATTATATTTCCTCCGGGTAGGGCGTTCGCCTTACAAGCGGCCAACATGGCCGACCCGAGTTCGATTCCTCTGCCCCTCTCGGAGAGCCCGGCAAGCTACCGAGAGTATTCGATATGCCAGACACAGTAACAACAAAGTCTCCAATGGAGACGTTACTGGGCCCGCTCGAGCAAATCGACGATCAACGGGAGGGCCTTTACCTTTTTTTACCTATGCCTATCCCCAGGGTAAAAAAATTCATAAGTACATATGCACACTATTATTTACTGCTGCACTTGGTACAATAACTAAGAAATTAAATCGACATAGGCGCTCAATAATAGAAGAACAGATTATAAAAGTTTGGTATATATACACAATAGAGTAGTACTGCGCAGCTTCAAGAAAAGATGAAATCATGCAATTTACTACCACATGGTAGGAACTGAAAGACATCATGTTGAGTTAAGCCAGAAGAAAGACACAGGATTATATGAAAATTTTGCCTAGTTTATGAAGTGCCTTTATGAAAGGGTATACAATTTTGTCTAAAACATTTTATATGCATATTGAGAATTTTATTCTTTATTCTGTTAATATGGTATATTACCATAATTGTGAATGTGAGACCATTAAATTACTTTCTCAACTTTAAGGCAAAGATTGTTGAAGGATTGTACAGTAGAAAATTTTTTAATAGAAATACGGTGGTTATTTGTACTAAAAACACATTTTTATCTACCAACTTCTTTTTTCATTTTTCTTAAAATCACATCTTTCATTAGATTGTTTCTTGGTTGTTCTGTCCTTTTTAAAATGTAAGATCAAGTGAGATGGCAGTTTCTTTAGTTGAATGTAATAGCCCAAATCTCCTTACTCTTTGGGGATAAATAAGTAGGGGGAGAATGAGGTTGGAGAATGTGAACAGGCTGTTACAGAAGAAATTGGGGAATTACTTTTTAGACATTTACTTACTCATACTGAAAAATGTTGTGATTTGTTGAAGAGAATTTCCCCCCTTGAAGTAGTAAAAAGTAGTAGATGGAGGATGAATTTAGAAGGATAAACATGATTTAGAAATGTTAATCAAAATAGGAAACTTGGTAAAGCCATTATTAATTTACAGGCAAATGTTTACAGAGGACATTAAGATTAACTTTTATGGCTGCTTGTAAAATGGAACTTGAAAGATTGACCTATCTAAGGAAATAAATTTTGTCAGGAGAGACAATAAACTGTAAATATAAAATATACCACAATGTTAGAGTAAGAAGAGGCTGCTAAAAATCTCAGGGCTTGGAGAATAGAGACGTTACTGGCGCCCGCTTGAGTAATTCGACAATCAATGCGATGACAGTGACAGTGACAATCAAAATAGTCTGTGGAAGATTCAATATTATGAGTTCACAGACAAGAAATATGAAATATTCTATTTACTGAGTGATAGCACAGCAGGTAGTGTGTTTGCCTTGCATGTGGCTGACCTGGTTCGATTCCTCTGTCCCTCTTGGAGAGCCGGCAAGCTACCAAGATACCAAGAGTATCTTGCCCGCATGGCAGAGCTTGGAAAGCTCTTTGTGGCGTATTTGATATGCCAAAAACAGTAACAACAAGTCTCACAATGGAGACGTTACTGGTGCCAACTCGAGCAAATCGATGAACAGTGGGAGGACAGTGTTACAGTGATACAGTGCTACTAAATGGCTCAAATGGACATATGCTGCCCGAGCCCGTGTGCTGCTTGCCCCCGCATGGCCGAGAACACGTGGTGACTGAGCACTGTGTCGCCCCCATCTCCCCTCTTGAGATGTGTACTTTTGTGCTTTCCTGTATAACACTGGGATGCGTTCAGGGCTCTCTCTGCCCTTGAAGAAGGCCGCATTCTCTCCTGAGCACTTGCTCTGTCTCTCTTACTCTCCACTCTCTCCTACTTTTCTCTTCTACCTTATCTTCAAAAAAACCTCCAAATAAAATCTGTTTTACTTCACTGCTTGACTACACCTGAAATTCTTTTCTGCGAGCAAGACAAGAACCCTGAAAACCCTGGGTAAGGCCTGGGACTGTTGTCTCCTTTCCTGCAAAGAGCAAATCCTCAGCCCAGCCTGAGTCCATGGCTCCCTGAGAAATCAGGTGGTGGGGATCAACTCCCGTGCCGAGAAGACTGAGCAGACTTCAGGTGTGGCTCAGGCCCATGCCCCAGGGTCTCATCTCAGACTTCACCGGTCCTAGTCTTCCCAGCGGGTCCCAGGTGACAGAGGAGGGGTGGGAGAAGGTAACTGTCCTTCTCTCCTCCTGACTCACGTGAGCCACCCTTGGGGTCCACCAACATCAACAGTAATTTTATTAAAAATAATTAAGTGATATAACTATAATATTCTGCCCCAAGCAGAACCCTGGAAGCCAAAAACCTCCAGACTCCAGCCACAGTCATGCTCAAGGCCACTCTCCACACGCTCGGAGGAGTCTCACGCATGAAAGAACCGGCAGAGGAAACCAGCCTCCATCCCTCTCGGAGAGCCCAGCAAGCTACCGAGAGTATCCTGCCCGCACAGCAGAGCCTGGCAAGCTACCCGTGACATATTCGATATGCCCAAAACAGTAACTATAACGGGCTTCATTCTTCCCCTGACCCTGAAAGAGCCTCCAATATGGCAGCATTGGGATGGAGACTTTATTGGCACCCGCTTGAGCAAATTGGTTAACAATGGGACGACAGTGATACTAAATGACTAATTAAATTATCGAAAAAAAATTGGGGCAGAGAGATAGTATAGCAGATAGGGCATTTGCCTTGCGCAAGACCATTCCAGATTTGATGCCTAGCATCCCATATGGTCTCCCAAGCACTTCCAAGAGTAATTCCTGTGTGCAGAGACAGGAGTAACCCCTGAGCATCACCTAGTGTGACCATCCCCCACCCTGCAAAAAAATTATCGAAAAATACCTCAGTAAAAGAAAATCTGTAAAAATTGTTATATCTCACCATGGGGATTTTAAGTTCTTGTCTGAAGGTTTACCAAGTTTTTGTTGCTAGTTGAGCCTCCTGTGTTAATGATTTAACTAGAGCTTAGTTAACTTTTACATTACATTTCTTTCAAATCTTGTGTGTGTCTATTGGAATGTTAGAGTTTGGAGATGCTGGCTCCAGAGAATCCATAATATTTAACTGGGCAGTGAGCTTACATGGTTGTGGTGGTGGCGGAATGTGGGTGTGGCTGCCAGGGCTCTAAGAAGTCGGAGGGTGAAGGGAGGTTGCCCACCCCCCCAATTCTGAGAAGTCCTGGAGTTTTCATTCAAAAAACCCAGTGTACCTGAAATTTTGGGAAGTTTGACCTCTCTGAAGATGAGTTGTGAGGTGGAGTCTAGCAGTGGGCAGCTGCTGGCATGTGAGGGTGGCTGCTAGGGCTTCGGCAGGGCATGGTCTGGGCCCCTTCCCTCCTGAGGTTGCCCAGGAGGTCTCAGCTGGAGAGCAGTGTATTAGAGAAACTTTTTGCAGCTACTTGATCTCTTTCGAGATTTAATCATGAATCTCTGAAGCAGGGCCAGTGGATCTCATTTCTGATTTTAGTAGTTTGAGTCTTTGAAAATCTTTTGTTTTTGATAGATCTAAATAAAGTTTTGCTAGCTTGTTGATTTGTTGTGTGTGGGAGTCACAGGAGAATTGGTCACATGCAATGGTACTAAAGGTTGACTCCTGACTCTTCACTTAAGGATCACTTTTGGCAAGGCTTGAAGGACCAAAAATGATGCAGGTCATTGAACCTAGGACAGCCACACGCAAACCAAATGGCCTGCGTACTGTACTATTGAACCAGCCTAGTTTGGTGATCTTTTAAACTTTTGTTATGTTGATTTTCTCCATTGCTTTTCTATTCTCCATTTTATTAATATTTTTGCTAGTTTAGTTCCACCCTTCTGCTTGCTTTGAATTTAATAGTCTCTTCTTTTTCTAGTTTAAGGTAAGAAATTAAAAGGACAAACCATGGAGAGAGTAAAAGAATTACTGGCTGACAGTTGTTAGGAAAAAGGGATGATGAGTGAGATATTACTCATTTGGACAGTGAAATTGGTCTATATGATGCTATTATGCTATATACATGCTACTACAAATTTGTCAAAACCCATACAGTGGACAATATTAAGAGTGAGACACAATGTTCACTATAAGGACTTTAAGTGACAATGATATATTAATGAAGTTTCTCAAATATAGCACTCTGGGATGGCATGTTGATAGGGTGGAAAACTGCTTGCAGGAGTACAGGGAAGAAGGGAAATCCCTGTGCCTCCTGCTCAATTTACTGTGAACCTAAAATTGCTATGAAAAAGTAAAAACCAGTATGGAATGTGGTTCAGTAATAATCCTGTTTGCTTTGTATGTGTGAGACCCTGGGTTGAGTGGGATTAATTGTGACATTAAGGAAATACAGTTTTTAATGTATAAATCTAATACAGAGATTTTGGAATTCCAGGGTGTCTTATTTTCATTCCTGTCATTTAGGCAACACTCTTATAAGTGTTAACATTTATGGGTTAAAATATTTTTATTTTAATTTTATTTTAGTCACTATGATTTTACAATACAGTTAGTGATAGGGTTTCATGCATACAGTGTTCCCTCACCACACTATTCTTCTAGAACTTCCATACTTCCTTCCATCTTAGTCTCAGGGTGCACCCCTCTCAAGTTTCCATCCTTTTACTATGTCCCTGCTGTGGCAAATTCAGTTCTGTATATGAGTGTTTATGGTTTTGATGTACAGCTACTGAACCTCTCCACTACCAAAGTACAGTGCATTTGTGTTACTTCGAGTTCAATACTTACCACTGTAGTGCCCAGCCTTTACCCCAACTTGGCTCTTGTAATCCCAAGGATTATCATTGAATATTGCCCATTCTATTGTTTTGTTCCTTTATATGTCATAGATGAGTGAGATCATATCATATTCATTCTCCTTATGACACATACCTTCCAGTTCCATACCAGTTTCAGTGAGCTGCATGATTTCATCTTTATGGGGCCATATCCAGCAGTGCTCAAGGCTTCTTTTTGGCTCTGCACTCTAAAATCACTTCTGGCAATCTCAGGGAACCATGAGATTGGTTACTTGGGATTGAATCTGGGTTGGTTATGTGCAAAACAAATACCCTACCCACTGTACTGTCTCTTCAGTCTTCATTTTTTTTCTAGGTTCACAATATCCTATCATGTATGTATATCGTGTCTTTCCTTTTTTTCTGTTTAGCTGCAATTAGACATTTAAGTTGTTAGCATATTCTAGTTATTTTACTAAGTGCTAGATGGGTGTGTTTTCGATTAGAAATCCTGACACTTATTTGGTCTATTGTTTCCTTTGCAGAAAAAGAATTGCTGTGCACCCCACCCCCTGAAATCTGTCATATTTAAGCCAACTGAAACAAACAGAAAAGGCTTTTTAATTGTACCCAATGCTCCTACCCACCCTAGATGCTCCTGCACTTTGAGACAGGTGGTTAGTATTACACTCTTTTACAAACACTGTATTGGCTGTGAATTCTTGTGTTTTTTCCCCATGAAAAAACTCAAGATGAACCTACACCTGTACCAAAAAGGGAGCTAAGAGAGAAAGCTTGTTCTTCTATCAAGGGTATTTGGGTGAGAGATACTGATAAAGGCATTCAAATGAAGAGCTGGTTAGCTCTTCATCAGGAAAACTGTACAGTTTCATGATTTGGGTTATGTCATAGGAATCAGGGAACAAAGCAGGAACTGAGGCCTCTAAGCTTTCCAACTGAGGATCGTGCATCTGGATGTCACTTGGTAGACTCGGAGTCATGATGGAGTCCTGTGTCCAACTGGAAGGGCCTAAGGGATGAGTGTGAGAGCAGCCACAGGTATCTGAAACAGCAGGGTAAGAAGTATGAGCATTCCTAGGTGGTTGTGGTAAGTCAGGCAGTTTCTTGTATAAAAGTTTCTTTTTTGACAGCTTTAGTGGTTGCTCTTGCTGATTCTGCTTTCTCCATTTGAGTCGCCGGTTCTTGAACCAATTCTGCCAGTGGGAAATAAAGAAAGAGAAATTATGATCTGTTAAGAGAATAGCTCATGAAAAAAAGTTTAAAACTTATGTCCTTTTCAAGGCATCATGATACTAAATTCTTAGAGTGTAGAGGTTGGTATGAGTGGGGTCAATAGGAAGATGACTAAAGGATCAGGTCTATGATCCCAGAAAAAGATAGAGGGAATAAAGAGGATATGTGTCATGTAAGAGATTGTGCTAAAGGTTCAGACAGTGGGTTTTGAACTCTAGAAGCTAGTTCAGGGGTTTAGAGCGAGGTAGGGTGTTTGAACTGGAGAATTTTTCCATGGTTATTTTAGGCTTCCATTGTGAATAATATTCCAATAAAAATTGGGAGACTTATCAGACTCAGAGGTTATAGAGGGAGTTCTTTGTCCATTGTTAGCATTTTTGAAAATACATTACAGAATTTTCACATGAGAAGGTCATAAGGAAGGGGATCTACTTGAGTAAGTTCTTACTCTATTTAAGCTTTATAGGATAAGACCTCTAGATTTCTAATTCTAATTACTCATGATCTCTATGATCCTGTCATTTCCCCCCTCTCGAATCTTCATTTTCTTTGTCTTTTAAATAAGAAAATGAAAAATGAGCCATATGTTAGGTGAATCTAATATGTGCAATATTCCCAATTCACACACTCATTTATTAAGAGAACTGTTATTATGATGTAAAAGGAGTCCAGACTGAAAATCAGAAAGCAGTTTGGATAAGATTCTAAGTACAATCTCAGAAGGTAAGACAGACCTTTACTGTTGACTCCGGTAGGCTGAGTTTCAAAGCCACTTTCTTCTGAAGATTTTTATCCAGAAACATGGTATGGCTAAACAGAGACTCCAACTCTTCATGCTGTACTTTGGTGAATGAAGTGCGTTTATGGCGTATCTCTCTTACTTCTGTAGGGCAAAAATGCACAAATGGTGGACTTAATAACACTGGCCTCATCATCCCAAGTCCCCCGAACCTGGACTCACTCATAGCTTCCCTCTAACCAACTTCGAATTCAAGAGTGCTGGTGCCTGAGCCCTATGTGGTATTCTCTGTCCTCTGAGGTTCAGTTTGTTTTTCCTAGAAAAAGTCTCCTCTTCAATTTTTTGTCCTGTACTCTGTTTTGGAGACTGACTCCCTTATCTTTCGATTTAATCAGTTTTCTTCTGTCTACCCTACCTAACTTTAGGATACTAAATAGGGGACTGGAGTGATAGCACAGCGGGGAAGGGCATTTGCCTTGCATGCGGCCAACCCAGGTTTGATTCCTAGCATCCCATATGATCCCCTGAGCACTGTCAGGGATAATTCCTGAGTGCAGAGCCAGGGGTGACCCCTGTGCATCACCAGATGTGACCCAAAAAGAAAAAAAAACAGAATAACAAATAGTAGTGATTTCCTCTTACTTTTATACTCCATTATTTTTAGAAACTAGGAATAAACACCCATATCCCTACACTTAAGGATAATACTCTTCAAAAGAAGTCATTTGTTTACTTAGGAATATAGTCTATCTTTTTGGGTTACAATTCTGGCTCTGTGCTGGGGTTGCTTCTGGATTGAATCCAGAGTGAGCCAGTGGAAAGCAAGTGTTTTAATTCTCCTGTTGGTCTACTCCATCACCCACCTTTTTAAATGTAGGTTTTATTACATCAGCTTTCCTCACTGATGATTGATTCAACATTCACAGCCATTTCCCCCACTCTAGGACTGAAATTCCAGCTTTCAATTCACAGTCCCTTTAACAGTTATCCCCTTCCTTAGATACTTCACAAAATTCATTCTCCTCATTAATAAAAACCCAATTGTGGTAGAAAGAGACTTATTATGAATAACAAGCACCTATATAAATTGTTATTTATTTTATTTTTGCTTTTTGGTTCACACCCGGCAATGCACAGGGGTTACTCCTTATTTTGCACCCAGAAATTACTCCTGGAGGTACTCAGGGACCATATGGGATGCTGGGAATTAAACCCGTGTCAGCCGCGTGCAAGGCAAACACCCTACCCACTGTACTATTGCTCCAGACCCTGTATAACTTTTTATGCCTTTGAAAGACTTCAGGTACTGAGTACAAGGGACCCAGTATTATAGAAAAGATGTTCCATCTCTCTTAGGAAATTTCAAAGATTTTGGCATTTGGTGAGCCAGGAATTGTGGACAAAGATAAAAATATATAATTATTTTTAAACAGGGCAAATATATTATGGCACAATATTGTGGGTAAACTGGGATAAATAATTCATTACATAAAATAGTAGTATATGAAAGCCTACAGAAATTTAGTTTCATATGTTATATGTTGTCCTTTACTGTATTATTTTGAAATATTTTTTAAACTTTTTTTCTTTTTAGGGAGAAGGCATGCTGGTTTGGCTTACACCTTGCTGTGTTTAGGTATCACTTCTAGTGGTGTTCAGGAGACCATATGTGATTCTAGGGATCAAACTTTTTTTTAATATATGCAAGAAAACTGCTTACCTGCTGGACTATGTCTCAGTGCCCAGAAAAATATTTTCTAATTTAATAATGTATCTTGAAGTTTTTTGTGTTATTTCATAAAGTTTATCTTTTAAAAATATGTTACAAAAACCAGTTGAGCTGGAATTCATATTGAACAACATAAAAAAATTAATAAAGCATTTCCATTTAAAACAACATAAAGGGGGCTGGAGTGATAGCACAGCGGGTAGGGCGTTTGCCTAACCAGGAATTGATCCAGGTTCGATTCCCAGCATCCCATATGGTCCCCTGAGCACCACCAGGAGTGAATCCTGAGTGCAAAGCCAGGAGTAACCCCTGTGCATCGCTGGGTGTGACCCAAAAAGCCAAAAAATAAATAAATAATAAATAAAAAAAATTTTAAAAATATAGAATTGATAGACATATTTCCTGATTTCAATACAAACTACTATAATAAGCATATAATGATAGAAATAGCAATAGAAGAGATTATATATGTGTGTGTATATATATATCATGAGGCTATATGGTCAAATAATTTTATTATTATTTTGAAGTCACACTAATGGTGCTGAGGGGCTATTCTGTCTGTGCTCAGGAGTGACACCCAGAAACACTGGAGGAGACCATATAGGGTACTGGGGTTAACCAGGGTGGGCTGCATACAAGATTCTGCCTTCATCTTTCTCTAGAGTCTGATCAAAAGACTTTCTTGGGGCTGGAGAGATAGCACAGCGGGTAGGGTGTCTGCCTTGGACGTGGCCAATCCGGGTTCGATTCCCAGCATCCCATATGGTCCCCTAGCACCGCCAGGATTAACTCCTGAGTGCAGAGCCAGGAGTAACCGCTGCGCACTGGCAAGTGTGACCCAAAAAGCAAAAAATAAAAAAAAATAAGAATTTCTTAAAAAAAATTTAAAAATTGATTGAATTTCTGTGATTTACCGTTGAGGAGGATGCCAGGAGCATTCTAGTGGGGAAATGCAATCTCTGCAACAGATGGTATTGGGAAAACTGGACATTGATATAAAAAAGAATTTAGATCATTATATTAACATATACAAAACTTTATTCAAAACAGTTCAAAAACCTTTATTGTAAAAACTAAAATAGCACTGCACTGTCACTGCACTGTCCTCCCGTTGTTCATCGATTTGCTAGAGTGGGCCCAGTAGTAACATCTCCGTTGTGAGACTTGTTACTGTGTTTGGCATATCAAATAAAAAACTAAAATACCTACAAAAATTGTGGAAAAAACAAGAAAATTTTAGTGACATAGGACTACAAATTATTTCTTGGATATAGTACTACAAGCATGGGCAACAAAGTGCAAATGAATTACTTTTCCATTAAAAAATTTTTTTTCTTCATCAAAGAATACAATCTACAGAGTGAAGTAGAAGCCTATGGATTGGGAGAATATACTTGCAAATCATAAACATTTTAAGATGTTAATTTAAGCTCTGGATACTAACATCTTAAAATGATTATGATTTACAAGTATATTCTCTCATTCCATAGGCTTCTACTTCACTCTGTAGATTTCATTTTTGGGTAGGGTGTTTGCCTTGCATTTGGCCGACCTGGGTTTTATTCCTCCATCCCTCTCAGAGAGCCCGGCAAGCTACTGAGAGTATCTCGCCCGCACGGCAAAGCCTGGCAAGCTCCCTGTGGCATATTCGATATTCCAAAAACAGTAACAACAAGTCTCACAATGGAGACATTACTGGTGCTCGCTCGAGCAAATCGATGAACAATGGGAGGGCAGTGCTACAGACAATGTTACAATACCCAGAGTACATAAAGAACTCTTAAAATTCAACAAAAACAATAAAATCCCTTAAAAAATTGGACAAAGGAATTGAACAGATATCTCTCCAATGAAGGTATGAAAATAGTAAACAAGTAGATGAAAGGTAGTGAATATAACCATTTACAAAGGTAATGCAAATCAAAACTATAAAACAACCTTTAACATTCATTTTGACCATGGATTCTATAGGATTCTAAGTATGAGCAGCAACAGTCAGAAGATAAGTATTCACAGAGATGTGGAGAAATTGGACCTTTTGTGTGCTATTGGTGGTAATGAAAAATGGTATGCCATTATAGAAAATAGTATTTTGGTGTCCCAAAAACTAAAAGTAGAATTACCATGTGATATAGCAATTCTATATTTGCTTATAAGGAAAGCAGGCTCACAAATTGTTAGTTGCACAACCCATGCTAATAGTATTAAAAGCAACTCAGGTAAACATCACGTGAATGGACACAAAAGCATGGCACACACACATATGTACATATATGTGTATGTGTGTATATATATATATATACACACACACACACGGCTTGCATTTGGTAGACTGGGAACACCTGTAAAAACAATTAGAGGCCACCCCAAAAGCCTCTGTCCCTCTCTGAGAGCCCAGCAAGCTCGCACAGAGCATCCTGCCTGCACAGCAGGGTCTGAAAAGCTACCCATGGTGTACCCAATATGCCAAAAACAGTAACTATAACGGGCCTCATTCCCCTGACCCTGAAAGAGCCCCCAGTACGCCATTGGGCTACGCTAGCACGTGACAGGGACAAATCAAGTCGTTACTGGCACCCGCTTGAGGAAATCGATGATCAGCAGGATGACAAGTGACAAGTGACAAGTGAGTGTGTATATTTACACATGTACATATATTAGTGAATAAAATATTATTCAAACTTTAAAGAATGATAATTTTGTCACATGTTAAAACATGTATGAGTTTTGAGGATATTAGGCTGCATGAAACAAACCACAGTGTCATAAATATTTTATGATTTGTATTTAAGTTTTTCAATTACTATATTATTAATTTTTTATATGATTTTTTTCTCACACTCTTCCTTTTCATACTTTATCTTTGTTGGTGATCTCATGTTGATTTCCTAATTTCAAAGAGCATCTTTCGGATTGTTGCATTGAAATCTTTATCAGAAAGTTTAGAAAAAATCTGATGTTCTCCTAGCTTGGTGCACCAGAGTTGCTTCCAGAAATGCTCAAGATACCATCTGGTACGAGAGACTGAATAGACTCCCAAAATGAAAAACACGCACTCCAGACCTTTAACGTATCTCCCCAATCTTTGTTTTACATTTTTTAAAGGCAATTCTTTTGTACCAGTCCGGTTTGACTATTCGACTACTGATCCCAAGGTATTATTTTTCTCTGAAATACAAGCTAAGAAATTTATCTGCAGAGTGAAGGAATCAGTTCTGTGGGGCTACAGCCATCACTTCTCCTTTGAGAGTTAGTTTCATTATAACGTAAATAGTTTGTAAACTAGAATGTAATATAATTTTGCGCATACTACTGGTCACTTGTTTTATTCCTATAATTGGAAATGACATGTCCCCATCTATGCCAGTGAAACTGTAGTCTAATCCTGCTAAGTTTTTGGCATCAAACTGCA